GCCAACAGCTTGCTTTTACACTCGTGATCGCGCTGCTCCAATTTGGCTCACCGCCTCACCGCTGACGGCAAGGCATGTTAGTTACGAGCAGTGTTGCGCGCCGGTATTATAATTCTATGGCGCTTCTATCGGCGGACAAATCCAGGGGATTCATTGCCATCGACAGGGGTTTGAACGGAGTAGCGCCGATTGCTAGAGCCGGAGAGGATTTCTAGAACGTTGAGTACCATCGAGCAACAGAAGCGCATAAGATGATGGTCGCCTCAGTTATGTATTGATCTGCTCGATATTAGGCGGGTCTTGTGCGCCTCTCACATAACATCGGTCATTATATCATTTTCATGATTTGATACCGAGGAAAACATGCTCTCGCAACGCAAACCGACGCACATGATATAGGCAGAGGAAAATTGCAAAACATATAGCTCGCTACACTGAGTTTCCTTACACCCAGGTACTGTTTCACGGTGTATTGCTGACCATGATTGTGATAGATTATAAGCGCGAGCAGATGTCATATCAGCTATTCATAAATAATTCCAAAATAATCATGTTCTATCAATCCAAGCATCCAGAAACAGCCAGCCAGAAACAAGCCAAGCATCAGCAGCTGGTAGTCATGACAGGTATCTTGTTCATATACCGCCTAAAATTCCCCATTTATCACCTTCATTTAACATTTTGACACGAGACTACCTAATGTATCGAGCCCATTATAAAACACCCCAGCTCTGAACCATCCCTCCCCATCTCCTCATTTCCATGTTTGCGAGTAGTTTCCACCCCCGCTGACGAGGCGGGAGGTCGCATTTACAATCACTCTAGCTTAGAGCACTTCCCAGTTGTCTGCGTGAGTCAGCTGACCCCTGCGACACGCATCGGTGACCTCTCACCTGCTTCAGTCGACCCACGGGCCACGGCACAGAGAGACAACTCCGGCAGGTGGGCACTCGGCATGGTTACCGTCCTGACCTCGCAAATTGACGGTTGTGAGTCCCCCTGCCCGTCCAGCTTCGGTAGTTCTCAGTGTTTTGGTGATGGTCGTTTTCGTGCCATGGATGGGTGGCTATGACGGTAGTGTGGGCGGGGACGCAGGGGGAGGGGCAGACAGGTGATGGAGGAGGGGGACCCACGTGACCTTGTGCGATGTGTAGGGCCCAGCTGGCCTCTGACACAGTCAGCTGATTGCAGGTGCAAGGGTAACCCGTACACTGTGCAGTGCTTGACGGCAACGGGAATCTTGATAGAGATAAGACATGGGAGTTGTAAGGGTGTGTGGGCGGGGGAAGGGGGAGTGAATCGTGCACAACTGGTGTTTATGTATCTAGGTGTATGTCGTTAGCTCTACTGTTTTAAGATCAAAGGTCCTAAGGGATTAATATTCATAGATAGGGTTCCAGAGTCAGGTCTGCGACACATTGCGCGAAATCACCAATATTCAACCGCAAATACCGCCAAACTATCCAAAGGCTATCAAGTGAATTATTTTGTCATTAGTGGCAGCACCAGTCCGCAAGTGAGATTGATGTATGATGCTCCCTAATCTACCTTTACTGATTCGGTGACGTTATGTGTAATGCGGCAGATTATCGGGTTCAGCCCAGTGCGTGGGAACATTCACTGCATTTGACTCCACGATGTGCAGGAGTCAGGAGATAGCCAAGGTATCACAGGCAACCCAGTTATATCAGAATACAACGGCAGATTAGTTGCGTTCCTTACGTTTCAGCGTTTCACAACGAACCAAAATAATAAATGCTGCCCTAGAAATGTTATAACAGCTTGTACGCTCTCTTTTCATCCGCCAGGGTTCTGTAAACGACTGAAAACACCACGCTGCCCCTATTACGCTAAGCAGTTTCACCAGCTACAGCAAATATAATCGAAATATAAAGCATTGCTTTCAACATCCTTTCACAAGACTACAAAATAAAGCCCCGTACACTTCATTATTTTTCCACGGTAAGAGTGGAACTTGAATACCCTGCAGCTCCCCGATCCGCCCTCCACTAGCGGCGCCGTAGACGACAAATATTATATGAAGCACGTCGTACGAGCGGTGCGCCGCTCCTGGCCGGTGGTAAACTTTGCTTCGGAGAGGAGGCTGGCAGAGAATCGGGAAATCCTGGAGAACGCCCCAGGGAAAATGGGCCGCACACTCATCCGGCCTGTGCAATATCTCATGTGCACTGTGCACTGTGCAGTGTACAGTGTACACTGTACATTGTGCCAAGGCCATATATGTAAGCATTGTGCGATGCGTCCAGCATTCTCAATCCTATAGCCTATATCTTAGATGAAGCTATGTATTTACAAAGCAACAACTATTTTTAGACGAATCAAAAAGGTATCTTCAAAGCATTTTCAGTTTAAATCTTCAATAACAACATTATTCATTTAATAAAACCACATTTTCTTCCAGAACGTTTCTGAGTAAATCACCATCGTCAGCCCACCATTCACCATAAAGCAGTCACAGATACCTTCCTCACGCTCACGTGCCAGTGTGTGGGAGTCGCGACCGCTTCCCTCCCACACCTGACACCCGAGCGTCGAACGTGGCACAGAAGGGCACGCGCCGAGTGGCGGCGTCACTTCTTTACCGCAGCCCATGAATTGGTAAACAAGAGTCAAGGTGAGAGGTCAGAACGAGCTGGGCTGTCGTCGAGCTGTGATGAATTCGTGTTTCTCCGACGGCGAATAGTAATTCGCTGGCTGCTCGGCCTAGACGGGCAGGCGATGATCGCCCCCGTCACGCTTGTGGAAGGTGGGAGTGATGAGGTGCGGGAGAGTGGTCCCGAAGAAGCTATCGTCGCGCCAGGCACAGGAGCGACTGCGGGGCCCCGGAGCGGAACAACCGAGAATCAGAGCTTACAGTTTCGGCCGGTAGGAGCCGCAACGAGGACTAGTCAGCAGACTGTGAAGTGCGAGTGGCGAACAATGGTAATCACGCAGCACGGCATGGTAACATCTGACACCGTTCCGTGCTTCTCTCCTCAGGATACAGAAATCCTTTTCCTCCACGCCGCAACCCCCCTCCGGGCTGGACAGGCAACTTTATCTCATGCGGGCTGCTCCCTTGGAGCGGCACCGCTGCTCCCGAGGGAGCGCACCCCGTAGCCGGGTGCAGTGAGTGCCTTGGGGCTGAGTGGCTTGTCCTCTGGACGGGCTCAGCCCCGGCGACTCACTAGGGTGCCTGCCCAGACCAATGTCTCCCCCTATATCCTATCATCATCCCGGCTCTGAACTGGTCTAATTGGACCGAAAAGGCCTAACCCAACAAAACAAAACAAATAACATCTGACCCGACTGGAACCAAGACTGACGAATTCAAATACCCAAGCATTAGTTCACAATGCAGGAACTGTATGCGCTTTCCGTGATAGGGAATGGGATGCCGAATGCACCTTGCCGACTTACCGTTGAATTATAAATGTGCCTACCTACCTGCCTTTACCGAACGGTTTTGCCATTTCTGTACATGATAGAAATTACTTATGATTGATCAAGAGTGACTTATGAAAATTGATGCAGCCTCTCTATGCAACTGAATTTCACCGACTAATTGTTAGCTTGATTTTGTCAATTTAACCGGCAACATTAACAACGCTCCTTCCATAAGAATGTTCCTCAGTGCCGAGGTGTCTGAGTTTAGTACATATAAAAAGCAATTCAAAATATACAACTTCTGATCTCAGTTTGCAATGATAATGTATGTTGCCAGGCGTACGCATGCTGAATAGTTATACTCACGTCGCGAAGGAGAGCATTGATATTGAAGCCGGATCGTGAGGATTGCAGTGAAAGAGCTTTAAATCCCACATGTAGCACCGATCCAACACTTGAGTGCCGATCGAAAGCCATCCCATCAGTGTGACATGCCGGTGCATTGAACAGGATTTGTTAGAGCACTGGGCGATGTAATCTGGTATCACCATCTGGCAATAGAATGCCTATAGCAGCTGCCACCTAGGGGCATTGCACTGATCTGTCGCTGGGTGCAAATATGTACTAGAGGATATTTTCTAATTTACTGTGGTACCTAGGTGGCAAAATATTGCTTAATAACCTGTTCCTCTAACTTCCGAGTGTATCATTGTAAAAAAATATTTATTATATATAACCGTTAAAAGATCACTTGCTACCACAAAAGTCAGCGCCTAATCATTTGACAAAGTAGTCGGCAACTTTTTGCCAAGTTGGAGTGGCGATATCGGAGAAAAGGTTGATAATCTTTAGAAACAATGCATTGAGCGCAGAAGCAGTGCGCAAACTTCACCAAATACCAAGAAAATTTAGTTGAAAGGTCGACACTGACCCCTAATAGTTGGAATACTCTACGCGTTGTTATAAAATGAAATCAAAGCTCTATTTGCACTTCACAAGCCTGCTATAGTGATTGTTCAAAAGCAGCAATATTTTATCAGCATACTGAGACCTGCAAATGCATATGGAGCAACTCCTGTGGGCAACTTTAAACAACAGGCCACAACTTCAGACGCAGACACCGCACCAGCCTATCTCTGTCCACGCATCTTTCCCGTGTGCCGGCTTGTCCAAGTTTAACACCACGTGACCAGAACACTTGCATTCGAGATGAGCGCGGGCACAACTTCTGCGGACTACTTTGCATACCGGCGGTGACTCTGTCCCGGATCTGTACCAACCAGAGTGTCGGCATCAGAACCTACCGCACGCTCTGACCTCTGCCACGCCCCTCCCACGTCCTCCTCCACAATGGACGCGACATTAGGACATAACCTATGGTACTCAAAACCAGACCACCCAGGTAAGAAACTATAACCTATCAAAACTAAAACTTCTCACAGGGCCTCTGTGGTGCGTGTCATACAGCGAGTCAAAAATAACAACTTAGCACGCGTCTCCCTATTCTTAACAAAGGTGGTTTAATTCTGACGGATTTTTCCAAAACCAAACGTACTTAAAGAGCATCAGGCCCCGAGGCCACACCACCGGGCAGGAGTGCCGCGGGGACTGACCTGATTCGTCCGACTGCTCCACCAGCTGCTGCGCCTGCTGGTAGGTGACCGTCATCAGGTCGAGAGCGGCTCGCGCAGACTCGTCAGGCCCGATCCTCGCCAGCACCGTGGTCAGGCTGAGGCGACCTCCCCCCGCAGTGGACTCGTCCGACAGCACCGGGTTACGGTTGGAGTCGAGCGGCAGCGCCTTGGACTCGACCAGGATGGGCACGCGCAGGGCGTGCTGCAGCGCCTCGGTGACGGCCAGAGTGTCTCCTCCACCGCCTGTGTCCAGGATGAAGATGCTGCTGGAGGTGGGTGGGTCGACGGGCGCGCGCCGATGGGACGCCGTCTCCGTCACGGTGGCCGCCTGCCGAGGAGACGCAGTCAGACGAGGGTTCAGATGGGGAGGTGGTGTCCGGTGTCGAGAGGAGAGACACAGTGATACTTCAGGTAGGGAGATGATTTTGAGATGGAGTGAGACATAGATTCGGTCGGCGGCATGTTTTAGAGAGGACAGGAGGAAAAGATGGTCGGGAAGATGTCAACAGAAGAATTTAATTTCTGATTTGTGGAGCATTGCGGGGACTTTTCAACGGGTTTAGCATGTTTGCAGCTTGTGTATGTTATAGTTTGTACTCATTTTGAGCGTTGTTATTGGTTTGTTATTGGATTGTTATTGGAACCGTTCCAGATGTAAGTGAAACGAACCTTTGTCATTAGCATAGCACCTATAGAAGCACGATGTGAGTGCATGTGGGATATTTGGCCAAACGGTTTTGATCTCAAATCAACACACGCAGCTCTCCGTTCCACACCAGACACCACCACCAGCCCTGAAATGACGTGCACGGTTCACTCCAGCATAGTTAGACAGGTCGCTACATTGGGACCGGCCCACCCCTCCATTGTCTGAGACTGGGTGAGGCGGAGTCAGAGCGTGCCTCGGGGGACGCACCGTTCAACCGTCGCTGTCGGGAGCGACGGTCGTGTCCTGACCGTGCGTCGGCGAGCGTTGGCCGTGGCCGCCCATATAATCCAGTTAGACCAACTTTCGGCGCTGCAGGAGGCGTGATGGTCGTGTTTTTGTAGGGAGCAGAGATTTTCGACCGCAGAGGAGAGGTGCAGAAGAAATACGAGAGGGAGAGAGAATAGAGATGAAGGGAGAGAGAGAGAGAGAGAGAGAGAGAGAGAGAGAGAGAGAGAGAGAGAGAGAGAGAGAGAGAGAGAGAGAGAGAGAGAGAGAGAGAGAGAGAGAGAGAGAGAGAGAGAGAGAGGATGGAGATTGGAGATGAAGGAAAAGATAGAGACAGGGAAGAGCCAGAGAAGGGAATGACGTCCTTATCCTTACCCAAACGATGTAAGAATCATAAGAGTCAAATATCATAAAATTATTGAGTATTAGCCTTAGGAGACGTTAAGAAGAGCAGAGCAAAACAAGGCGTAATAGCTCACTAACACCGATCATAGCATCGGTTTGCCGACGCATACTACACCTGACTAAACGTTTCTCTGACACAATGATCTACAATTGCATCTATCATTGTATCAGATACGCCTTCGATCGAGCTAGACGTTAGCTAGAATGGGACCAAGCCAGGCTGCATTCGTCTAATGTGGCCTGCAATTACCACTGCAATAAATATGAGGTATAGTTGCATCGATATACGTATAAAAGATATGTCGTTCACGTGCTATCATGTGAATAGTTGGCTGGAACATCTTTAACTGAACGATCAGAGAGAAGTGGGATGAAGACCGTGAACAAGTTCGTCTTATTTTCACTGGCCAACGATTTACGTCACAACGCTTCTGCTGGCATCCCCGCTACGCCGCTGACGAGTCTGTTTAGTAGTAGGCAGGGCATGCCGCCAATTGGTGGACGATCTGTTTGTGCTTATGTATATATATTGTTTGTCTTGTGTACATATGTATATGATCATTGTCGCGACCCCCATCGATGGATGACTGTCGTCTAGTGCTGAGTGTTCTTCCCCCTGCCCGCATGATTGTTACCCATTATACTCGGATCTAAGCCGTAATCGCCACGCCATATGTGGAAGGCTTTTGGTGTCAATACAACGAAGAACGCACGCCTCCAAACTGACAAAGCGGGACAGAGACGTGCCCTCCATTTGAAACAACTTTGATTGGAGCCAACTAAGGTAACCGAAGAAAAGTCGTGCAAGAAGAGAGAAGGATCGCATTCAGTTATTGTATAATAGTTGGAACAGCTATGTAATATGCTGGCTACGCTTCACGATTTACCAGTCCATCCACCGACTACCTTTCCCACCACTTCAATCAGACCGGACCCACCTTCCCCAGGACCCTGATCCGTACACCAGCCTGTATCACCAGCCCCAGCGCGGCGAGGGCTCGTTTTACGGACGTGGAAGTTCCCGTTGCGCCGGAGAGATTGTCCGGTAATTGTTTACAGCGAGCGGCCAAAGGGCTGCACCCGTGTACCGTGTGCTTGTTTGCTGCCACTCGACGAGCGCTGGGTCGTCGAGCGCTCGCCGACGTTCGCTATTTCCCACACACACACACATAGGGGCTGATTCTGAGCGAGGAACTGCCGAGCGTAATGAATTGTTTCTAAATTGGTACGAGGTCGTGTAGTTATGGGTTGTAAGGAATATAGCCCATGATGCGTCTAACTACGAGTACACTCAGTTGTTGCAGTTCATAATTGGGTTATATTGTTTTGATCAATCAGGCTTCTGGCAAAAAAAAGTATTTCTGCCGCAAAACAACCTGTGGTTTTAAATCAGGAAAGAGTTTTTGTGGTTTTAAAAAAGCGAGAAAGTGGTTTTGAATGGGATTACTTCGGGACGAGAGCGTCTATGTAGTTCAGTGGTCGGCAGGTCATTCGGGGTCGTGCCCCCTTTTTGGGCGCCAGGGAGGGCCATTACCCCCACCTACCAGACCCCATTGCTGACACAACTATGTTTACTGAAATTCCATACCGCCCTGGAACTCTTTGGGTATTTGTGCATTTCCAATGCATCAAATTTAAAACATGACACTTCCTCCACAAAACATTTTATGCCTATATCCCAGTAGCGGCGGAACACCTTCAATTAAGGGGGAGGGTGGAGCACTGCCGACTTTTGGTCCCATCCTTTCCATGCAACGCCCATAGGGCTAATGTTAAAATGCAAAAATCAAAGGGTGCACGGTGCCCCGGTGCCCTCCCCGTTCCGCCGCCTATGCTATATCCCATTTAACCCTTGTACGTATAGGGGCGGCGGGTGGTTTTTCGTTAAAAGCTCACGTAAAAGGCATTGGATCACGACCAAATTGTACCCTCGAGCCCATCATTTTTTTTTCACCAGCCCGGAAAATATCATGACCTGAGACCAGTTTTACCAACAGAAAAATAACCGCCTGCCGGAATTTTTGCCTCAAGACCGCTTCACATACGGAGCGTAAACGCGATGGGCTCGTAAGCGGATAGGGCTTTATCGTTTACGCTCCATATGTGAAACGATCTTTAGGCAAAAATTCCGGCAGGCGGCTATTTTTCTGTTGGTAAAACTGGCCTCTGGACCCATAATGACCGTTGGCTTATGAGCTTTTTCTGGAGATCATCTTGAGCCATAAAATCTCACTTCAAGAAGTTATAGCGGGTCCCGATTTCTTCGACACTTATCATTGCCCTCTTGAATGAGACGGAATGACCAAGGACCTGGGCAATGGGCAAATGGGCAGCAGCGGCTTCCTAGGTCACGGGTAGCACGCTCGTCTTTTTTATGCACAGCTCCATATCAGAGTCCGAGAGGCCGCGGGGGTCCGATCGACTCCTCCCCCTTACGTTAGCGGCTGTTGAAACGCCAACAGACGGGCGACGGTTAAAAGTTGCAGCTGCTTTTGAACGACTGTACGGAGGGGTGAGATGGTGAGGCGAGCAGGTACGTGAAAATTGGTATCTAATCAATAGTGTGCTGTGCCTTTGGCCTGGGCTAATATTTGAACCCTGGGATGCAACAGTCACGATGGCTCCATCACTGGAGCTACAAACTCTAAAAAGATAGGCTTTCTCAGAATCCCTCATTACCCCCACCGAAAGGGCTCCATTACCCCCAAAGGGGGCATGCCCCACCATTTGCCGACCCCTGATGTAGTTGAATGTAGTCGAAGATAGTGGTAAGTGCAGAATGAACAGGAAATATCAGAACACAAAGAAAATCCCACCACATATGTTGTGCCTGAAAATGTTCAGTAGCGTTTAGCAAAAACAGGAAATTGCAAGCCGGCAACGCAATAAGCCAACATCAAAGACGTACGCTGAATAAGCTTTTCAACGCCAGCATGAGATGTGGACTCCTTTGAGCTGAAAATATCGAAATAACATCTCATCCGAATCCGCGGCCTTCGGGACGCACTTCCTTATTTTGGCCTCCTCCGGCAAATGGTTCGCATGAAGCGCCAGCCGGAACGGATGGCTAAGCATCTGTGCACTCACTACCAATCTTGCCAAAGTACCGTGCGTAAGTCGGACCATTCGTTTGCGGCGACGAGGAGAAATGGCTGCGAATTCGATCCCATCTAGCTCAGCGCAGCACCCTATCTCTCACGGCGGCACTGTCGATTTGCGGCGGCCAGGTTCCGCGCAACAACACTGCCTGCTGAGAAAAGTCGCGATAATCCCTCCGGTGAAAGCCCAGATAGGGATGCCGTGACATCTCTGCGCTGAATGAGGTAAAAAGAAAAGAAACAAAGCGTGCAACAAAGATAAGGCAAAAAATAGCATGCATTGTACCCTAAAGACGACACTCATTTGGAACAAAGGTAGGTATAGGAAAAAATAACTAAGTTTACAGGCAATCCCAGGGCTAAGTTGAAAGCCTCTAGGATCTATTGGACTTTGAAAGCAAATGTGAATGTCGCAGCAACAAGAAAAAAAAACGTTTCACTTAATCTATGACTGAACTATATGCCACATATTTAACTGATCGTTGGCAAATAGATTACGAAAAAATAGCATTTTTCAAGTTGGGAATTGCGAATTAGGCGGCTGAAACAGCTTCAATGCTCGCCAATCTAATGGGGGAGGGATTAAAACTGCCCCAACTGGCAAATATGTAGGTAATGGTGAAAAACACCGATTACCGAAAACAATAATTGAGTGCCTAGCCTGTTTTTGACACTTTTCAAACATGGTCTGCTAGCATATCCAAACATCTCCAACTTTGCTTTATCTCAATGTTCCACTGATATCCCTCCCTCCTCCCGTCTTTGTTTTCTCAAGTGAATCTCATCACAGCGCTCCAAGTCATAATCAGCCGTGAACTCTTAATGAAAAGGTGGGTGTTTACCACAACACATCAGTGGGCTGCTTCTGCGGGCTCCACGGGGAATTTCTTC